CCACTCTGCTGATCATCCAACAGCACCAGCAACAGTGCTGGTTGCTGCTGGTGTTTTTCCCATAGGCTTTCTGACATGGAGCCTTCAAAGCCTGGGTGTTGAGTAATGGGTCTGTCACTGCAGTGTTTCTTCCTGACGTTTCTTCCTGTCTGTCTCCTGCTTCTTAGAGCCCTCTGTTACTCCCCTGAAACCACATGTCCCACCAGGAGCTCCCATTACTTGGGAGGCCACCTAAACTCTTTGCACAATCCCTGATCTCCCCACATCAATACCCATCCTAGGCACCCTGTGGTTACTTGGATGATTCTATTTTTATTTGTAGTCATTGACACATAATTTGTCTTTTTTTCATCACATTAGTCCAAGGGTTTATAACTCAATGGGAACTGTTCTAAGTGTGCCTTCATGCAATATATATAACCTTAGTTAGTGCGTTTGTCCCTGCTCTGTCCTCTGGTGTCTGCTCTGTCCAGAAGGGCTTTAATATTGTTTGAAAGAATTTCCATGTTACATTATGTAAGGTAATGTTTACATTCATTCTGACGTACTTCAGATTTGCTCTCCCTCTTTCCCTCCTTTTCCCTACCCATCTCTGCCTGCAGCCCACGCTTTCTGCCTGCCAGCTGTAAAGAGATTTCAGAATTTTAAAAATAGCTATTTAAAAGCAGCAAACCAAGACGGAAATGAAATACAGCAGGAAAGAACTGCTCTGGGGAAACTCAGTAAGTTAGAATACACCAGGGCTTTCCTGCAGGGTTTTAACGATGACTGTGTAGCTGCATAGACCTAAATCTATACATTTCATTAGCTGAACCATCACTATGTGAGGACTGTCTTTTATCTAAGTATAGTTAACTACAGATTTATAGAATTATAGAATTATCTAAGTATAGTTAACTATAGATTCATAGAATTATAGAATTATCTAAGTGTAGTTAACTATAGACTTATAGAATTATAGATTTGGGAAGAAAAATTCCATACATAAATTTTTATTACTTATTATTTTTATTATTTTTGTGTTTCCATGAAATTTTATTTTCCCATCCCAAGAATCTACAGTCTAAATCTGGGTTTAGATGCCTCTGTTTGAACAAGCAAACTCAACAAATTTTGTCCCATGGTATTTAATGCAAAAAGAAAATGTCATGAGGCCTTTTCCTTTAGAAATAATCAGTTAAGATTAATGAAGATATGTTTATGTCCACATTCTCCCATGCAGTAAGGCTAGGGGGTATATTCATCATATACATCAGGATTAACTCAGTTTCTGCTGTAGCACTGCAGTTCTCTTGAAAATGTAGAGTCACTGACCTATTTTTCAGGTAGTTTGGTGAGAGTCACTCCAAACCCTTCTGGTGTCTCAGCACCATAAAATTGTAATGGTTTACAGAAATGTAGCCTCTTATTGAAATAGCAAATAAGACAAAAGTGGCAAATGGAATTTGAAATCTTCACGTTGGGAAAACAGTAGTTTTCATAATGACCACACCCAAGGAGTGAGCTGACATGGAAGGCCCCCACTAAAATGTCCTATGGGAATTTGTCTGAAAGGGCAGTTTCTGCATCCCCAAAGCTGTTGTGATCTTTGATGGCCTCTTTCTGCTCTTCTCCTTTTTGTAAGGAAGTTGCTTGAAGACTTGGGGGTTCTGGCCCCCCCCCCCCTTTTTTTTTTAATTCATGTAAAACACCAACTTTATTAAAACTAGGCTTAAGTGCATGTAGAATTACACCAGGTACATTAGGCACAGCACAGTCCATCTCAGTTAAATATACTAATTCTTGAGGTTAAAATAACACCAACTTTCTCCATTGCCTTTGTTCCCCCCTAAGGGAGTTTCTTGGGAAGGCAGCCTTGGAATTTTTACCAGCCCAAGAGGGAAGTGGTGAAAACCCAGGACAGGTGTGGTCAGCACCTTCTGCCACTGTCCACATTTGTGCTCCTCGAGCTGAGCACGTGGTAAATGGATGCTGTCAAACTAGGCAATATAGAGCACCAGGCCTGGAGACATGGACTTTTTGCCCTAAAACAAAGACAAAGGAATTCCCATCAGAGATGTGTGAGCTTATACAGAGCAAATCCTTAATTGCTCTCTTAAACCCAAGAAAGACTTTTTGTAAATCAAACCCAGCCAGATTATTATCTTAAAATTTTTAAGGATTTGCTTCTGATTTTATAATACCAGCCTCAGTGAAAAGTGGAGCAACATTTTCTGTAGCTGCCTTAGGAACTCCTGAAGTATGTGATTTTTCAGACAGACATTGTAACTGCTGTATCACTACCACTATAATGGTAAAACAATCTCCATCACTTTAGTCCTGAGAATTTGTTGAGGTTATTAGAGAGCTTGTTTCTGCTTCTCTGCACCAGCTGTACAAGGGCTGCCCCAGAAAAGAGGACATGAACGTAACACCCAGGCAGTTCAAAATCCACATTGATTTGTCTTGCCCAGTAATTACATTAATATCTCTATGGCATGGTTACACAGTATAGCCAGTGGGGAAGAGAAGAAGACCTGGTGAAGGAAAAAAAAGGACACAAGTCAGCAATGTAGCTTGAAGGATATGGAGGGAACTGCATATTGTTTCTTCATCAGCTCTTCAGATCTAGTCACTAGTTCAAGGAATTGAGAAAAATATTTAAAGAAATCACATTTTTATCAATAATTGTGGGCAATAATTGCAAGGTCACAAAGGCAGGAGTGGGCTATGCAGTCTACAGCATGTAAGAAGTGGAAGAAAGCAGTGACTGAAGGTCTGAAGATGTTAAGAAAAAGGGTTTGCACACTAGGATTGTTCCAGCCACATGGGATAACTGATCCCCCTCTAGCAGGTCCCCTGGAAGTGAACCAACCAAGTGAACCAACCAGCTTCCAACCAAGATATTGATAGTAAAGAAAGTAGCAGACATTTTTAAGAGTGAATGTTGCATAGTGATATAGGGTAGTATGTGCATAGCGATAAAGGACAGTTTGAAGAGACTTCAGAAAACTGAGGATTAGATATCTTTCCTAACATTAACACTGTACTAAATCAAAAGCGTTACTTTTCCTGAATCTGAAATAGATTTAGCTATACTACTGAGCCAATAGCCTTTGAAACAGAAAAGCCTTCTTATCAAAAAGGAAATAGTTCCTGAGTTTGCCTGAGGCATGTTTCCTTCTGCAAGATTTGAAAAGGTGGGAAAAGAAAGTGGAGACAACCTTCATCTGACTTAGTTTAAAACACATATATTACATTTTTGCATTTCAAATTATGACGTTTAAATTTTATTCTGTCTGTAATTTTCCTCTATGTAATGGATTTTGTTTTCTTCTCATTTTAAATACATCTGTATCTTGGTGCACCTGAATTATTCATTTAGCTCAAAATTAATTTCTGGAGTTTTAATTAATTATTATGCCTGTATTAAAAATTAACTTCAAGGTTATTTTTAAAATCCTTTTCTCTTATTTGTAAGATACCAACAGAGAGGGGAGATACACATAGCCATTAAAATCATTCATGAGGCTCAAAACATATTTCATTTTTTTTCAGGTCCTCCAGGCTTCGCTTCTGATTGCCTGACAACTCAAAGCCATCCAGAGAAGCCTCAAAGAAAAACTATTACAGAAGTAAAAGGTAAAAGACTGTATGGGAATTGGACTCCTCGATGTCACAGCTCTGCGTCAGGACTGGCTCAGCTCAATTCCCTTGGGCTGCTGATTCTTTCAGACTAGCTGATGCTCCTGTAGTCATTCCCCCTTGCCTGTAGCCTTTCTGGTGGCACTTCTTGTAAGGCTGCTAGCCACAAGCCTGACACCACACATGGCATTTAGCATGCCATGGAACTCTGAATCTTTAATTCAACCTCCAGCTTCCTGGTAAGGGAGGTGGGAAAGGTCAACCACTTTAGCGTGTAATCCTTCCCTTCCTAAATGCAGACAGCTGTGAAAAGAAGTCATACACTGATGAAGCATTTGTCATTCAAATTGAGCATTCTTCTGGACTCCTTCCAGCCTCAGGACCTGAACCCTCCCCGCAGGCCCTTGCCCAGACAGCAAACCAGGGAGAGAGAATCTGTACTTTCCCATCTGGGGTGGGTGGGAGGGAATGGGCTGCAGTGTCTGTTCCACTAATTCCTGATCTCAGAGCAGACAATTTTCACCTTGAGAAATGTAATTCACATCCTGCACCACCGCAGCTCTCACTCTGGACTATGACTTCAGCCCTTCTCCTTCCTGCTCTCCATGTTTTTCTGGTGTCTTTGTGAGTAATAATCACTCAGCCTAAAGGCAAAGATTTTTTTCAAGCCTTTGCAAGAATCAACCATTTACCTCAGTGTGACAGAGTGGCAGTGGTACTGATTTTCCTTTCAATAATTCATCTTTTGGCTTTTTTTATTGTGAAAAGCTACTTTTGAGCATTAATGGCCACAATATGTTCAGATTCGCTACACTTGGCAGGTGGGCTATTAATTGAAATGAGCATTAGTGAATTTGGAAAATCTTTTTTACTCAGTTCCTCAGGCAGGTTTTGATTTGCCTCCAAATACTTGCTCTGTGGTCTGGCTAGACGTTTGTAATGGCTCCTCTGTGGTAATGGCCTGGGTTTCTTGATGGGGTTTTTCAGTGTGTTTTTAAGGACCACTTCAGCCTCTTTACACACAATGCAGCACCATCTCTGTTCATATTTAGCAGTGAGAAATTGGTCCTTTATTTCCCAAAGCTAGCAATATGCCCTGAACTTTGCAGCAGCAAACTGAAATTGTGTAGTTATCACATTTTAATATGAAGAGTGCGAGCTCAGCTAGACTAAGTAATTTGTAGATTCCAGCATGATGCTTGTGACTGTCATTAGAAGGCAGTTTGCCAGTCTAGTAATTACATTCAGATGAGTTTGGGTCAAACTCACTTAACTGTATTGTTTCTCCTAGAAAATGAATACTGTGGTCCTAATGTTCTTAAGTGGCAGTTTAAAGATATTGATGAGGGATTGTATCACAGCAATTTTAAAGATTTTATTTAAGGTAGTTATGCAAAAAAAATAGTTTATAGCTGAATGTAGATTGTCAGTATCTTCAATACTACAAACCAGTTTTCTGACTGAATCATTCATATGCAGATTTCTAATACTTGTGGAAAAAAAAAATAAACCCAACTAATTTTTATGTGATTTTCTGAACCAGAATATTTTCTCAATCAGTTGCAATCATTAGTTTTAATTTATTATTTTTGTTCTCTTTTCCAGCCATCATCTACAATCAATGCTGCACATGAATCGTTAGTCTTGCTTCTCCTGTTTCCCATCAGCATGCTGAAAGTCTGATGGGTGAAATTCAGTTTAAGGGTGCAAATGTTTTCCTTTGTCTTATTCAGACCATTCCTAAAGATAAAAACCAAGTTAAGTGGTAAAAATAAACACCTTTTCCAGTAACAAGTCAAGACACAAAGAACAACCAAGTGCTCCTGCATAGCAATACTGCAGCACTGTCAGCTAAAATGCTGCCATGGACACCTGCGTGCTCTGTCTAAAAATAAATTGCTGGATTGTGTCACCGGAATTGATGAGCCTAAAGAATCTAATATCTCATGACAATAGGATTCCTGGGTGGAAAGCTGTGTATGGAAAAGTGCCAGGCAGATGTACTGCAGACCTCACTGTGCTCCCCTGTAGTTATGCTGCTGAAGAGTAATCGCAGCCAAGTCAAGGCATTCCAAAGCTGGCAAAGTCAGAAGCCACAGCCAAGACGCTGGAGCCCACCCCATGCTGGAGACTGGTTATTTACTAAGGCTGACTGTGGGTCCCGGCACTACTCAGCAGATACAGCAGCTCCTTTGGTCTTCTCTCCTTCCTCCTTGGTAAGAAGCATGGAAGTGGGCTTCCCTGATGGCAGCATCACAAGAAATGACTTTGTTCGTTTAATAAATTTATGTCCTTTGGAGAAAGCCTAGGCCCAGCGCTTCTGTCAGAAGATAGCTTACTTGCACACAAGGCCTTGGCATTAACAGGGGGGCAGAACTAACAATGACCGTCTCAGATAAATTGGCCATGCTAGGAGCCATTCCTTTGACAGAACGATGTTACATGCCTCAACCATAATGTGTTTTGTCATTGATTTCAGAGATGCAGCATGTAGCCATCCAGGCTTTCACAGGATTTTTCTGGCCTGTAATAAAGTTCTATTAGGATATTTATTCTGTCCTCTTGATGGTGGCAGCTTCTTACTGATGTGCTCCTTGAATGGAAGCAATGCTTTCCTACCAGCCCCCATGCCTCCTTTAAACTCTCCTTCCTATCCCTAATGGCTTGATTTCCAAAGGTGATGGTATCCTCAGGTCATTTTGCTCCTTAAAGAAGCAGAGCTGCTCAGACCTTTTGAAAACCAGGCCAACAATGTACTTATAGAGGTGTAATTACTATCTTTGTAAGCAGCTCCAGGCAATGTCATAATACACTCTGTTAAGTGAGGACAAAGTCCACACTAGATGGATGAGAGGCTAGAAGGGATGCAGGGCTGGCACATAGAAAGGAACACACATCAGTTTATTCCAAGTTTTTTCCAGTGTGCAGAGAGAGGGAGCTGAGGAAGGATGAGCTTCTCCCCTGTCTTAATGCAGATATAGAGAAAATTAAACCACACAAACTGGCATGGGTGAGGGACACTGGAAGGGCTTGTTTAAATCCACGGTACTTACTGCATTAGTTACCCATGGGAAATTTACACTTGTGTACTTTAAAGTTGCATTCTTTTTTATAATGGGTTTGCTTATACTATACACAAATGAGAATTAGGGGATATACCTCAACATATCTTCAAAAGATAATTCAGTTTCCCCAAACCACAGAAACCTGCAGGCTGAGAACTCAGATTTTCCCCCAGTTACTTAAACTTCTTTAATGAGTATTTCTACATGAATAAGATACATGGAACTAGGACCACACTAGTATTATATAAAATGGGAATGGGAATGAATTTAGGGATTGCAGCAAACTGCAGAGCTGCCTGTTCCCACGCAGTTTGTGTATCCTGGGATAACACAGGTAAATTGACCTCTAAAGTTGCAGTTATAAGCACCTAAGCATATCTGATGGCTTGCTCTTGCCATGAGGGGGAAGTCTTGTTCTTTCTCCTCCTTTTCTTTCTCCTCTAACCCAGACCTCTTCCTAGCCAAAGACCCTGCTGTCTCACTTAGGGTAGCTCTGGAGCTTCATGAACTTGCCTGTAAGCTGATTCAACTCACTAACCCAGCAGAGAAAATATCAGGCAGCTGTTTTCTTCTGGGTCATGTTTCTGCTTGGTCAGTGAACAGCAGTGGTGAGTGAAGGGCTTCATTTATTCACAGGTAGCAGAGCTGATAAAAAAGATGATGGGATTGCATGGCTGGGAAAAGGGCCTCCTCATTTTGGTGGAGGTGAGCTGCTGACTTAGTGCATGCCATCCTAGGAAACTGAAACCGTGTCTAAATTTGAGCACCTAATAGTAAAACCACCTGCTTTGCAGAAGCGCAGCTGAGGCAAATACTTTGCTTTTGGAACCTAAGGCCTCCAGCAGCTTGTGTAAGCCCCACTGTCCCTCTGCCTGGCCCTGGTGCTCCTTCCCACACTGGCTGGCCAGGGTATTTCTATGCCTTCACTGGGAGCTGGGAGAACTGATCCAGCTGAAAAATAACTTCTGCATCCAGCTCACTTACAAAGACTCACACTGAAACCATGCGAGGCAGTGCAGGGGCTGAGCAGGGACAGACATAGGCAATTCCACTTCGGGTCAGAGGGAAGCTTGTACATGTCCAGCTCTCACAAGATGTTACAAGTCAAAGGGCTGTGACCTCCAGCGGCTCATATGCCTTTTGCTCCAGCTATTACTGTGTTAGCCTGCTGCCCTAACTACTACCACCAACAGCTATTTGGGCAAAAGGTTAAAAGTGTGTGTGATTTTTCTTGGTTCTTCAAGGGGAAAAAAAAAAGAAATAGAAGTGCCTGAGATGGAGGGTGGGTCGCTACTGTGTATGAACATTATTGTTGTATTAGCTACATGATTATAACTGTGAAGTTGCGTAACACACACAGGCTGCAATGCAGGCTTGCAAGGTTTTGGCTGTCCTTCCTCTCCTGGTCCTTTATTCTGTATATTACATTCCTTTATTGCATTTTGGCTCATGTTAAACTGTAAGGCCCTTATTGCAGGGACCATGTCATTTATGTATCAGCGCAGTGCCTCAGATAATGGAGCTTTAGCAGTGATGGGGCCTCTGGGAGTGCCTGTCACAGAAATGGCAGGGGGGAATAGTTTCACTCTTGTGGAGTGCAGAATTAATCATATCTAGGAGGACTTGATTTTCACTAGCCTTTTTGAAGGACTTCATCTTTGCCTCTTGCCTGCCCAGTTCCTTTCCCTCCATCTCTCCCATCTCTCTGCCTTTACAGACACACTCCTGCTCCATTTTGACTCCATGAATGATCATTCCCCTTTTGTCAAGAGATCACAGGCTACCTCTTTTCCTTCATTCTGCACATCTCCTCTTTCCTTCCTGATCTTTGGCTGCATGCTGAATAGGGCTGCAAAAATAAAAAAAAAACAAGGAAAAAAAAAAAGTTAATGAGCAAACCCCACTGCCCTAGATTTAAAAGAGAAATGTATAATAATTGTTTTCTTCCTAAACACAGAGGAAGACAAATTAAACCAAATCGTATTTGGACCTGGAAGGCAAAGGGGAGAGAGGAGGTAGGAGAGAAGAAAGGAAGAGGCAAAGGAGAGCCGCACCTTCTCCTTTGGAGCTGTCTTTGGCTTTGTTTGCATTTCAACAGGAGTGTAAGTTATGATGAGAATATAGATTGTTATGGTAATACCCTTTTTATTCCATATGTAGTGACCCTTGTTCAAAAGCAAGTATATGGTTTTGATTTAGCTTACACTTTTTTGGAAGTTTTTTAACTGATAAAATCCAAATAAACTTAAGTATCCAGAGGATTGGGAATATCTACAGTAGGTTTAAAGAGATACAAAGTTCCTCTGGGTTTCAGTGTACTGGCACGCTTTGTGTATCCCACTTCTCTTGGAAGCTCCTGCCAGCAAACCTGTTCCAGCGTGGGTCTCCAAGGGGCCACAGGTCCTGCCAGGGGCCTGCCCCAGCACAGGCTTCCCACAGAGTCACAGCCTCCTTTGGAAATCCCCCTGCTCCAGGGTGGGATCCTCCATGGGCTGCAGGTGGATCTGCTCCACCATGAACCTCCATGGGCGGCAGAGGCACAGCCTGCCTCACCATGGGCTGCACCATGGGCTGCAGGGGAATCTCTGCTCTGGAGCGTGGAGCACCTCCTGCCCTCCTTCTGCACTGACCTTTGGAACTGCAGAGCTGTATCTGTCACATATTCTCACTCCTTTCTTCAGCTGCAATCGCTATTGCAGTTTTTTTCCCCTTCTTTAAAAAGTCTGGGAAAAACATCATCAGGTTGGCTACAGTGTGCCAGTACAGTGGCTTGTTAGGAATCAAGAAGAAAAGCAACACCAACTTGGTGAAAATGACAACCATCAGCTGGATATCAGAAAAGCTGGCAGCTATGTAGTAGAATAATATGCATTTTGTTGAGGGGGCCATGTGGACAAACTGAGATGGGCTGGAGTCTGCTAGACTTGGACTGTGTTGCCCCATGAGGACAGAACTTGTTGGACCAAGAGTTTAAAGAAGGCTCAGAAGGAAAAATAAAAAAAGCAGAAAAAAAAAAAGAAATCAACAGAGGAACCCAACAGCTGGTGATGCTGAAAGATGAGATGAAGAAAGGCTCGGCTCTGAGGATTCATTGGATGGATGTGTGCGGAGCCAATAAACGGAGCCAAAGATTAGGTGAAGATGAAAATGCTGATGGCACTGCTGTATTTGGATTATTAAAAACTCCAACCAAAGAAACCTCTAGCACTTCCCTGCATAGGTAAACCCTTGCTTGGTAAACATCAAATGCAGATTCAGACTCAAATCTTGAGCCAGCCACTCATGTGACACCAGTGCTGCTGCAGAATGGAATATGGGGTTTGAACTTGTTCTCAGGAAGTAAGAAACTTACTGGGTGTTAGGTCAATCCTTACTTACATCTGGGTGGAAACTTACAGTAACTGTGCAATTTCCCTAAATAATCCCCAGAGATCGAATTTAGACATTTCACCTTTGCAGCCTTTCCTGCCTTTGCTCCTACAGTGCTTTTCATGCGAAGCCTTTGCACTTCCCTACACCATGTAAACTATGACTACTTCTTTCACTTAAAGACCTCGGTACAACATTAAAATCCCACCAATAACTACGAGGAGGTCCCTTTTGTCATAATACCTGTCTTCATTAGTCACGGTCGCTTAAAGGGGGAACATAAAACAGGACGCTTGGATCCATGGGCATCCTCCTCCCCACGCTGCTCCCCGGAGCACCCTCGGCCGAGCAGCGGGGCCGCCCGGGTGCTACCCCGGAGGGCGGTGGCCTCACCGAGCCGCTGCAGCCGCGGAGTGAGGGGATGCGGTGCCAGCACTGCCCGCGCAGCCTCCGCAGAGGCGCGCTGCGGCGCGCAGGGGCTGGCAGGCCCAGGCTGCCCGCGCTGCCGCATCATTCACCTCTCGGCGCCGCGCGCGGGGACATGCGCAATGCTGCGCGCCTGTCCGCGCAGCGCTCCGCGGCCGCGCGCCGCCCAACCCAGCTCCGCCGCTTCCCTCCGACCCTCCTGCCGGGCGGAGGAGGGGAGGGATCGCGGTGGGGAGGAGGAGGAGGAGGAGGGAGGGGAGAGGAGAGCAGAGCAAGAGCAGAGCAGAGCAGAGCAGAGCAAGAGCAGAGCAGAGCAGAGCAGAGCAGAACAGAACAGAACAGGGCAGAGGAGAGGAGGAGGGAAGAAGAGACGCGCCGCAACTTGCTGCTGCTCCTCCCTTCCTCCGTCCCCTCCTTCCCTCCCCGCGCCGGTGCCCGGCCCCTGCAGGCTGCACTCCCCGGGCCGCGCTCCGCGGGAGGCGGCATCCTCGGGGGCGCCCCTCCGCGGGGCTGGCGCCTGTCGGTGAGTTGGGGGCGGTGCGAGAAGTTGCTGTGCCTGTGTTTTGGGGGGTGGAGGGGGAAATGTGTGCGTATTGCGGGGTGCTGTCGCTGCGGGAGGGCGGTGGAGGAACCGCCGCAGGGCTGCGAGGCTGTTCTGTCTGGCCGCGTTCCGTGCTGCGCGTTATGTGGTGACTGGGAGAGTAATTCGGCACGGTCATAGGTGCGGGGCAGGGTCGTGTGAAGCATCCCCCGGCGGTAGGATTCCCCCGTGGGCGAGCCCCGCGTTTTCATTCACATGCTATTGCATGGTGACAGACTCCAGTTTGTCAGTGGCATCTGCTCTTGGTCTTGGAAACTCTTCTAAGAGGAAGGGATCACCAGAGGAGAGCAAGAGGCTGCTTTTCAAAGCTCACAAATGAGTCCGGACACCCCATTTGCCGTGTGTGCTGCTCGGTTTGGAGCATTTGCTTCCCTTAGTGCTTCTAGGATGGGAAAGGAAGAAAGCTGTCAAACGGTCATCCCAAGAAAGTTGTGTAGCTTGAGATGTTACGTACGCTAATGGAGCCTATTATCTACATAAACAAACATAGTGATTTATAGGTGTCTGAACTATAATGCTTTGAACGATAGAGCTCTTTAACCTTTCTTTCTAATCTGTCTCTCAGAGATTTGGGTTTAAGGAGAGTAATACATCATCTGTGGTGCTGAATACTTGAGTTGATTACATTTGTAAAAGGAAACAATGCCTTTGAAATAATACTGAGCCATTAAGTAATAAATGCAGAAAAAGAGTGAGAAAGAGCAAAGCTAAGATTCTGGCAGAAAGTATTTCCTCGCCTTCCTAGCAGCCATGCTCGATTGACTTTTATCCAGCGTTCTTATTTTATTAAATTGTATGTCAAAAATGTAAGTGTGCCTTGTGAAACCAGAAGCAAATCCTCTCAGTCCTCTCAAAGTCTGTCTGTGTTGCAGTTAAATGATTGGAGCAGTGTCTGTTAAGAGCATCTGCAGAAATGAGCTCTGCTAAAGATACCCAGTAAGTAAATGGAAGTACATTTTCATTGTATTTGCTTCTCTTAGACCATACAGTAGCAGAAACGTCAAATTTCGGGGTTTCTTATTTTACATCTTTAACAATTTTGCCCTGATAAATATACCTATATGTGAGGTGTGCAGCTTCATCATAGCAAAAGTGCCTCTCCTTACTGGATAAGTGATTAATTCAGGTGTTAACTTATTCAACAGGGGCCAAATTCTGTGGCCTGTGAAGCATCTCCTGTAACGGGTGTCTCCTGCCCTCAGGGGCAGAGGAAACAGCGAGTACAGTGTGGACAATATCTTGCAGACCTGAAGTACAGGAGCAATTTTATCTTTAACCGGTGTCTCAATACAGGATTTTATTAACATAAAATCAGTATTCAGGTCAGCAATGGGGATCTGCAACTTTCGAATGAGAAGCTGATCTGAAGGCAACACATTGCTCAGATGAGTAAAGGTTGTGGGGTATGACACTGAGCAAGCTCACCTATCTTTTGTTCTGGTCCTTTTATGAAATGTCATTTAATGAGGAGAAGAAATAGGTAATCCATTGCATTTTAAGGCACGGTGCTCCTGGTAAGGCTTATTGCCAGGCATTTGAACATGTATGTGGCTTTAGATCATGTATTGTATACAGATTGCTGCTACTAGATAACTTAAGCTTTAAATTTATTCTACTGTTAAAGTTATATTGATCAGAAAGTGGCAACTGGATTTCAAGTCCTAATAAGAAAATCTAGAGCTAATTTATATTTTAAGAAGCACTGTTCTGACCAATCCACCAGAAATGCAGCTGAGTTCTTCTTACCGGCTATGCTGTGGCATTTAGTTAAGGAGCACTCTTTCCTGGGGCTTTGTGGACTTCATGACACACAAAGGAGTTAAATTTGTTTATCAGCTCATTGATGCCCCTGGTAAAGTGCTGTAGAGTTCAATAGCTGGAACAGAGGATGGTGTTTTTCTGTCCATTAAGGACAGGGATGGAGAATGGAGGGGTTTTTACAAAGTGGTTCCAACACTATTTCATTTGTAACTGCAAAACATAAGAATAAGATTAATAGACCAGAAAGGCTTGAAAACATTATTTAACACTTGATTGAAACAATGAATCATTCAAATACAATTACCTAGGCTGCTGTAGTGATGCCTCTGCTTCTAGGTGTCGAGAAAGGACCAGATTTTGAGTGCGGGGTACTAGGTAGCTCAGCCTAGGATGGTGGTGGGAGGTCAGGAGTCCTGCCCTCACATGCAGGTTTCCAGAGTGGGGCTGAGAGCCCCTTCCCAAGTTTGAGTGTATGCTGAATGAATGGCAGCTGCTGGCCCAAGCCCTGCCTGGAGCTAGCAGGGAAGGTGCGTTGGATGGGGTCCTGGTTGTACAGCCTGTAGCTTGCAGACAAGCTGCCTGGCTGCTTGCAGCCCATCTCTGCATCCCAAGGTTGCAGGTCTTATACTGTGTGTAACGATGCCAAAAAGCTTTTGTTCTGGTGGGGAAAGAAGTTCAGGATGGCTTCTTTTGTAGGAAAATGGTGCATTTATAAATGTCCGTATGATCAGATGCTGCTTACGTTGATTGAAACATGGAAAGGGTGAGCAGGGCACACTCTTGCATATACTACTGCTAGTAAAAAACTCTAGACTTGAAACTACTGTGCACTCATGTAGGCTCTTGGAGGCCCTGTAAAATCCAGGTGAGGAAGTTGAAGCCTGCTGGTCTGCCTGCGAACTTAACTGAAAGGAATGAATATGTCCTTAGTTGCTGTTCCCCCATCTCCATCCTGGTATCCCTCATGCTCTGAATTGCTGTGCCATTCCATGACTCCTCTGTAGGTGTCTCATGGGTATGTGTGCTGCATCCAGTTCGTCTTCCCCCTGGCCCTTCACCTCCCAGAAAACAAAGGTTTTGCAACCTCCAAAGGTTGCTCCTGCAAAGGTACACCAAGCACAGCTGTCAGGTGAAGATGATGAATGATGAGAGGCATTCCCTTGCTTCCTGGATGTGATATAACCAAGTTGTAATTAAAGCAGTGGTGGTAGATTATTAGGGCAGATAAACACTGCCTTGTTACAGCCCTCTTGGGTCATATGTAAGCAGGATTTGTTTAGAAAGGTTGAATGAATAGTCAGTGTGAAGGATAAAGATCAGGATTGTTAATCACTCTGGAAGTCTTCTGTGGGAAAGTGTAAACTCACAAGGAAAGATAGTGTCCATAAATGTAATTTAAATATTTACATAACCTGAGGATAAAAATTTGATATTAAAAGCATGCAATTACCAAGTCATGTTTGGGTTCCTGTCAGAGTTCACTAGGACTTGTACTGCTGTGGTTGGTTGGTGGTGGGCTATATTTTTACGTAATGCTTCGCTACCAGCAGCAAAGAGTTCTTCTTTACCACCACATATGAAAAAAATCTGATGGTTCTTGTTTAAGTGCAGGTATAAAAAAAACCACCAACCCACAGAAATTTCAGAGACTACATTTGCTTAAACTCTTCTGCTTCAGGTTGGGTTAACTCTTCAGGCATTCCTGCCTAAAGCAGCGTACCAGTGGCTGTAGGGGGCATGGGGATTCGTCATTCACTTACAGTTTGTGGCTGTTGATACAGGTGCAGTGTGAGAAAGAATGACTCCAGGTAGGAAAGGGTGGTTTCCACTCCCATAAATAACTGGGATTTATTGGAATTGTTTCTCTGCTGATCCTTGATTTCATAATTCTCACAGAAGTTTCTTTTGTCCTTTTCCAGCTCTCAGAATGTGATAAAACCCTTGAAAAAAGGTGTGTGCTTTCATGTAAATACGATGAGGATGAGCCTTTGAAAACATATCTAAGCTGATGTTGATGAATAAACAAACTTGGCCAGAGTAAATCTTTTCATCTAACTTCAAGAGCCACACAGTAATGAAGTAAATATAGATGTACTTAATGGGTTTCTTTCATCCCAGCACATAAAAAACCCTCTAAAGTAATGCAAACAAATCTAAAATGGATTTCTAAGTGGCATGGTTTTGGTTGGTTTTTGTTTATTGGTACTGAAGCAGTTTAGCCAGGCTAGAGTGGGAGTGGAGCTGTAGAAGTGCTGACGTGAGGGGTAGCCTAAATGGGAGGGGACAGAGTGTGTGAGAGACTTGACTCTTCTGCAGTTCTGCAAAAAAGGCAGAAAGTGCTCATTCTGCATGTTTAGAACAAGTTATTTGAAGAGCTTCTCCCCAGACTTGTCTCTTTAAAAGGCAGTTTGCAGATGAGACTTCAAGAGGCAGGGGGCTTGCTCTGCAGGGTACGTCCAGGCAGTGCACTAGCCTGGTTTCCAGGTCACAATGTACCTGAATTTGGTGTTAAAGG